TACATTACAAGTGGGCTTTGGCAAAAACATTTCACATGTATACTGGAGATAATTTTAAGCTAAACAATTAGTATTATTAGTTTGACTTGAAGGTGCCAAGTTCAACACATACAATTTGAGCCCAAGTCGAGAATGTACCCATCCTGATATAGTAGATCGAAACCTGCTTGATCCCATCAAACATCCCCTGCTGTGTTCGCTGCAAGGGGCTTTGAGTTTAAAATAATTTGATTACTATGCCATTCCTTCTAAAAAAGCGTTAAAGGATGACATATTAATGTTATTTATATGTGTATCTTGTATGAGCGAAATCTGTGAGTGCCGCCTGTGAAAGCTTTCCTCGTCTCTGTTGGCGAGCTTAGTTAGTCGTCTGTGCCAACTTCAAAGGTAAAGGATGTTCGTTTCATTCCCCCAGTTAGGATCGGGCCGCTACAGGCATTCCTAGCTTCGTTAGCCTCACTGGAGGGATCATTGATCGGGTCTGATTGGATGGGGTTGAAGAAATGATGGCAGGTATCTGAGAGAATGTTACTGGCCTAGCATTTGCCTATTGCTGTAAGAAAACCTCTGAAAAAACTCATACCAGGCCAGTCAGCAATGGGGCTTGAACTCACTATCTCCTGAATACGAGGCAGATGCGTTACCGTAAAGTTACTTTGGATTTTAGGTTGGGGCGGATTTAGAACCTTTCCAAGCATGGGGGAGCAATTTCCTGGGTTAAAAGCGTGGGTTGATTGTATGTGTATCAACTACTAGGAATATTAGTCAGGAGGAAGCGCAATTGCGCCATTGCCTCTTTCTTGGATCCGCTGGTGTTTTGGATTAAGGCAATTTAGTTTAAATCGACTTAAAATCAAGTCTAATATCTGGAGTTTCCATTTGACAGAATAGTTTTTGGATACCCTGTATAGGAAACTATACTTTCGACATCCTGTAAAATATGTTTTGTTTTATACTTACTCTTGAGTGTTTGGTATTCTAAATGCATTTGAAGCCTGACGGGCGATCAGTATGTGATCGTTGTTATCACATATTATTCTTGATATTGTTGATTTCCTCAATTGGAAAAGTTGATCTGAAAAAAGGAAGAAAAGAAGTGTTTAGTTAACAAATTATCTTCATATTCTGGTAGTAAGTATACTTGTTCTAATATGAATCGAATAAATGTACTTTTAACTTAGTTTAACTTTTTTCTGCGGCAATATGAAATTATAATGAGTAAGGAATCCTAAAATAATTATTCATTTCCGTATTGAGTCTACAGTAGAACAAACAGAGTAATGCATTTTTAGCCGCTTTGAAACAAGTTAGTAATTTACTCAATGCTTGTGCAATTTTATCAATTTTTTCGTACTTTATAATGTTTAGCTGTAAAATCGGTGGACTTAGGTAGTTGTAATTTCGTTTGTAGATGCAGAGATTCTTGCATATTTGTCATTTGTTTGGTATTAATTTGTAATATAGTTTTTGGACGATAAATCGCACCGCTAGAAGAACAGTGACAGATCTCAAAATTTATGATGTTCAATATAAATAATATAAAAACACTGAAATTTCTCGAGACACAATGACGCAAATTGTACTTCTATTATTGGCCCGGAGATAGCAATAGTGTCAGTATTTGAGTATATCGAATTTCCATTTCGCCCCGTACAACAGTTATTTCTCATTGTCATTTTAGTTAAACTGTTACTAAGAAGAATAGTGTCATAATAAACAATAAGACGTTGTTTTATAATTGCGGGAAAACATTTTTATACATATTTATATGAAATTTCTTATTTTAAAATTTGACATTATTCAACTTTGTTAATATTAAGAGGTTGCTACTGAAAACTTTGTGGTAGCAGATTTCTTCCTAATTTTATTTTTAATTCTGCATTATTCTATTGAAAACAGTAAAAAAACTTCTGAATTTAGTTTAACTTTTTTGATATTTTTTAGCAAAAGCTAGCCGATCTATTAGAAAATATAAATGAGAACAAAAAAATTAAAAAACCATTGAAACAACAACAATTATGTCATTACAGTGAAACCTGAGTAAGCCGGAACCTGTGTAACACGGAATCCTGTGTATGACGGAAATTTTGGCGATTACCTACATATTGTAATGTAAAAATTGCTTATAAGCCGGAACCCTGTCTAACGCGAACACGGAATTTCCCTAATCTGTTAAGCCGGAACCTACTTATGTTATTGCTTTGCAGGTATAAAAGAGTTTATAGATGTTTACATAATTAGTTTATGATTTCGGAAAGCCCCATAATAAGGGCGAACTATTATCAATACTTAGAACCATTATCACAGAAATTTAGGTACAAAAGCAGTAAATACACAAATAAACCAGTATTGTGTAGGTACGGCAGTTTGAGTTTATCCGTGAAAGTGCAAACATTTCAAAATGGCAAACCGAAAAACGAATACATTATCGCTAAAATCTAAAATGGACTTAATTAAATGTAGTGACCAAAAAAAACTTACTCCAAAGCAATTGGTTATTCAATTTAAGTGCGGAAAAACGCAAGTGTATGAAATTTTGAAAAACAAGGAAAAAATTAAAGAAGAGTGGATGCGTGGTGGTAATGGCGATATTAAGAGAAAGCCAAAGGAATCACATCACGACGACGTAAATTCAACAGTTTTGGAATGGTTTATGGATGCAAGGTCTCGCAATCTTCCTGTATCTGGAACAATTATTCAAGAAAAAGCAAGAGAAATTGCAAACCATTTTGGAAAAGTAGATTTTAAAGCTTCGAATGGATGGCTGGAAAGTTTTCGAACACGACATAACATAAGATTTAATCAGATCTGCGGTGAAGCTAAGGACGTCGACATGGAATCTGTGACTGAATGGACATCGCACATTACAGATTTAATTAAAGGATATACCCTAAAAGACATTGCTAATTGTGACGAAACTGGCCTTTTTTATAGAGCGCTGCCGGACAAGACTATGTGCTTTAAAGGTGAAAAATGTCAAGGAGGCAAACAATCTAAAGAAAGGTTAACCGTTTTGTTTTGCGCCTTTGCTGACGGAAAAATAGAAAAACCTCTAGTTATTGGAAAATCCCTCAGACCGCGATGTTTTAACAATACCAATGTGCCTCAGCTACCAGTTTATTGGCGAGCAAATAAAAAAGCATGGATGACATCAGTTCTTATGGAACAGTGGCTAAAAATTTTAAATCAAAAAATGAAATTTGAAAATCGACACATCCTTCTATTTTTGGATAATGCAACGTGTCACCCCAAAATAATACTATCCGATATAAAATTGTGTTTTCTACCACCAAACACCACAAGTCAAACACAGCCTCTCGATCATGGAGTTATACAAAACTTCAAAATGCATTACAGAAAACAAGTGCTGCGGTCAATTATTGCGAATATGAGATTCTCTCAATCAGCAGGAGATTTGGCTAAAAAAATATTAGTTTTGGATGCTATCAGATGGATTGATTATTCAGTAAAAAATATTAAACCTGATTGTGTTAAAAAATGTTTTGCGGCATGTGGAATCAAGCAAGATGGAGACGTTGACCTAATCGAAAATGTTGACGAAATTGACGAAAGTACAAAAGAAGTCGAAGAGTTAATTACTGAAATTAATCCCGGTTATAATGTTCATGATTACATCACATTAGATGAAGCCGTTACAACAAATGCTGGATTTCAGTCCATAGAAGAACTGGTGTTAGAAAAAACTGCCGTGGAAACTACTGTGGCAGACGATAATGATGGGATTGGAATTGGTAAGCGATTTTTCTAATTCTCTAAAAAAATAAACAACTTTTTATTTATTCTTTCCATCTTAATTGGGCATTTGGCCAAGTAGAAATAAAGTTAAAATACATAATAAAAATAAGATAGGAAGATTTCAGTTACCATCACAAAAATAACAGATAGAAAAAATTATTTTCCCATTAGCTTTTCAAAACGATCTGTTCTTAAATTATTATTTTTATCTACAGGAACAGAAGTTGAAGAATCCGATCGGATAAAAAAATTTTCTGAAGCTTTGAGGAGTGTTGCAGCGTTAGAGGATTTTTCCCAAAGAATAGAGAGCGAACCGATGAGAAAGAAGATTTTAGAATTAAGGGCATTCATGGAATCATCTTACGTATTACAAAAGAATAAAAAACAACTTACATTGATAGAAATGTGGAATAAATAATAATTTATATTGTTTCTAATAATAAATAAAAATATGTAGGTACATAGTAATAATAACAACTATATATTAAATGTACGTATATTAGATTTTTTTTAATAAAATCATCACTTTTTTAAATCTACTATGTGCAATTTTTTATCTACCCTGTGTAACGCGGAATCCTGTATATGCCGGAAAATCGGTGCACGACCGTGCGATTCCGTTTTACACAGGTTTCACTGTATTATTGCGAACACAAAAAAAGTTTTAAGTAAAAAATTTTGTTGTTTTACTTGTACCGACTAGAAATGTAATAACTGGCAGAATTGTATATACAGGGCGCCACCAACAAACTATAATTTAATTTTTTTAATGGGACACCCTATATATTTTAAGTAGACTTGCATTTCCTGATCAAAAATATGTAATATTTTAACTGTTTAGTATCTTATTGCACAATAAAAGCGCATAGATGGCTATGAAAATTATGTTTCCAAGTGAAACAGCTGTTTGTTTAATAAAAGTTGTCAATTGATTGCTTGTAATGGGTTATACTGTAGCCGAAAAAATTAAGGTAAAACAATAAAGCTTTTACTGGAAACTTTTTTTTGTGTTCACAAGAATAATGAAAATAAGTGTTGGTCAAAATATAAATAAAAACCCTGTACAATGGAATCAAACTATTGCTTGGTGCAAACCAAATCTAAATGCCTTTTTATTGCTATATATGTTATTCAGTTTTACAACTTGCCAACTGTAATAATTATTAGTAAATAATAATTATTGTTGCGATATTCTATAAACCATGTTCATTTTTCCCGTGCTTTTGGACTGGACGCGGTCGTGCTGATTTGATCTACGTTTCCAAACGTGTTTGTGCTAATAAATGTACTCATACAATGATTAAGAAAATAGAAACTGTTCTGATTAAATCGATTAAGTGTAAGTACATAACTTTTATTTCAATATAAACGCAATCCCACCGATACAGGATTCTATATATTCTGAATCTTAAAATTTATGATTTTAAATCTGTCTGCCTCACGGGAGTGACAGAATTTCATATTCTCTTTCTAAATCTGCAGGTGTCTCACAAATGAAATCAATAAAATGATATATTCATTTATGTAAAGTCCAAAAATACAAAGTTTTTGTTCAATATGAGATATAGGCATACGTTTTCACTTATCTAAATCGGTTTTTCCATTTATATTTGTTCTGCTTTTTTTAGAATGAGGGGAATAAAACAATGGCTTAATATAATAAATATACAGATGTCTGGCTAAAAATGTACAAACTGTGACCCAAACTTGGAAGCTATATATATTTTTATATTTAAATAAAAGTACTTTAGGTAAATCGGTCATAAGAAGTTTTTATTTTTTAAGCACTACATATGTTTCGGAAAATAGAATTTTTTGGTGTAGTCAATATTATAACCTGATTAACAAAACTAGTAGGGAAACAAAAACCAGTTAAAAATTATCAATGGCGTTACAGCAATAAATCAAATCTTGTTTATGAGCGATTTAAGAACTTTTATTTATATAAAATTCTACTACCATCAGAAAATTATCATCGTTCAAAATAAATAAATAAATAAAATATTTTTATTTTGTTAGTTCCTATGAACATATGTCGGAGTTACTTCGTTTCTGAGATACAGAGCGATTAATTTAAAAAATGGGTAATTTATAAATATCATAAATATCCTTAAACCCACTTAGTTTAAATTTGGAACAGTTATTTAAAGTAATAAGGCGCTTATTTAGCTCTAACTAGATTTAAATTATTAGGTCCAGTTGCGTCTCAGTGGGCACCATAAGCAATATTATTGAGAAAAAAAGTACTCCACTGCTTTTTTGGAATTTTTATGTTTTGTTCAGTATAAGCAACTAAGAATACAACTAAAGCAATAAAATATTTTTTGCATTATTATTATTATTATATTTTTTGACATGACAATAATATCATGTTTTGTTTTCAGTTCAATAAAAACATACATATCTTTTAAATATTATTTTGTATTTTTTCATCTATTTGCAGTGACTATTTTCCATATACTTTGATTACTATATGGGGCAAGAGAGAGGTCCGACACGCCCAACATAGGGCGCGGCCATTTTGATTCCTATGACACAGTTTATAGCTAAAGAATCAGATCGCTCACTCTTCGTCGGCACTTTTGATGTCAATGTTCCAATTTATACACTGCGCAACTCGGATAATACAATATATGACAACCGCCTATAATAAAACGGCAGTCTTCTGCGTATCCTGGCTTTGTATCCCTGGAGTGGATGCTATTTTGGAACTTTCAACTTGTCCGAGTGAGCTAACTGATTCTTTAGCAATAAACTGTGACTCCAAAAATTAGGCATTCCAAACTGAATAGCTACCAGTGGGTTTTGACAGGTTATGATATGGCAAAATTATGGCAACCCTGTAGGCCTGGTGATTTGACAAATTCAATGAAATAGATAGTTACATAGATTGATCATCCATATTTTTCAAAATAAACATAAGCTTATGCCTTGATGTAAAAATGTAAGCAGTTATTATTTTTTAAATATCTAAAGGCTGACAATTGGTTTTAAAACACATTTTTGCTAAATCGATTCAAATTAATAAATATTTGCCAGGCAATATGGCCGCTTGCAAACGACCAGCTTTGAGCAATCTATATAACGATATATGTATCATTGACCCTATTAATGTCAACATGACAACAGGGTTGCCATTATCTAAACTGTCATTACCCACTGGTAGCCATTTGGACAGGTCGTTGGAATTCCTAATAATGTTCACTGACACTGACAGCAGCAAGCAAAATATCAGGTGCGTTTTAATCATCCGCTTCTGCTTCCGGAATTGTCGGTTTAGTCGTTTTAACCTGTCAGATTAAAACAAGAAAACCGACAATTCCGAAGCAGAAGCGGATGATCAAAACGCACCAATTAAAAATATTGCGCCAAGATGTAGGCAACACGTAATAATGGTTCAAAATGGCCCAGTTTTCTATCTCCTTTTAAAAGGCACTCAGAAAGCTGCGCAGTGCGACCATTCTCCGTATAGTAAAAGAAAATCAAAGTATGTGCTATTTTCACAAAGTCGAATTATTTACGTAATATCATTATCGAAAAAACTTGTTGCATCCGTGGATGTACGAACACATTACTCTGGAAACCTGGATTTCATTCGATAGTAAAGAAATTTTATGAATTTCCACAGAGCAGAATTAGTGTCTCACATCCAATGATATACATAATTATATAGATTGCTTATCCATATGTAAATCAGACAACGAAAAACGTATTTCACTGGGCAAAGTTTTTTTTATCTAGCTTGTATCAATTTTGAGCACTTAGTTGTAAAGAAATCATTTACAGAACCGGTTTAGAAATTATAATCTTTAGTGTTTTCTTGTCATTAAGATTTTTACATATTTAAATGAACATTTTATATAAATATAATTTTACAGATAATTAATGGTTTGTTCTGTTGATTAAAACTAATGTAGAACGTTACTATGAAATAAGTATGTCCAATTTGACAAAAATATCATAGCCTTCTTTACAATTTCTCATTTATTACTAAAATAAACAAATCATAAATAATACATTGCAAGTGCTGTCAGAAGAGATTGCAACAAACTTTAAAATATTAAAAATCCAGTGATTTTTGTAAATTTTTTTAGTGACATTACCATTAAAAATTATTCAGAATAATCCAATTACAACTCTTACCAAAGTTGTTTATATCTCATATCAAAGTTGTTTACATTTTCTTTTCGAAATTGTATTACATATTGCAATTATGTATTATATGTAGTGTTATTTCTGAAATGAGAGTAGTCTAAAGTTATTTATATCTATCTGTTTTAAAAATTGTTTAGATCTCTTAATATTATTTAACTACATGGAAACTCAACTGTCCAAATACATAATAACGTGCCCTGAAGTAAAACTTTAATTATTTTCTTTTTCTAAAGATTAAAATGCTGAAATTTTATATTAAAACACATTTGGGCTAGAACGGCTCTATTTAGTGAGCACTAGGAAAGGTACATTGCAACCCGCTTTTCGTAATGTTTTATAGATGGGTGAGCAATCTATAATATGTATATCACTGGGCGTCTCATAAACGTCAGTGGATGAATGACATTTCGTCTAACATAAAGCTAAAAAGAATTATTATTATTCCCAATCTTTTTTATTAATTTACATTTTTTAAATGTAATACTTTTAAATTCAGTGTTACTAAATACCGATATTTTGACATTGGATAAACTTGTTTGAGGTACAACTTTACAATTTATTGTCACTTTGTCATTTAAATGTTTTTGCTTAAAATGTATATGCATGTCCAGATTTTAATAATGTTTTACATTTTATATCATTTTGACCATGTACTCGATTGTTTGGTACGGACCGGTATCTATATTTAACTATATTTAATATTTTAAAAAATATCCTTTATTATTTACTTGCAATGTTTACCCCCATTTAATTCTAAAATTAAACACTAGAGAGGGCTAACTTCGGCAGTAGTGCTGCCTCTATATTTCACGCACGGTCCCTATAGACTTATGCAGTGGTAGCCTATCTGTCAATATATTATCTAAGGTCAATATAAACCAAACATTTTTAAATCAGATTAATAGAACGTCATTATAATTACGTGACCACGCTTGACTTGGTCACATTTCTTGTAACTGATTTAAAACCGCTTAATATGTAACTATTTTATAATAACTAAATGCATTATGTATTTATTGTGACTTGTTGTCTGCTATTCCGATATCTTCCAAGACATTGAACATCTCTGCTCATGACAAAAGTGCCAAATGCTTTGGCAAGATCCAAAAATACGCACACTGTATTATTAACGGACTCATATATACTTTTCGTTAGATAAGCTTATTGATGTTGCGCTAAAATATTATTTTTAACCGGATTCAAAAAAGGAGGAGGTTCTCAATATTTGTTTTTACAATAAAGTTACCTCCAGTGACACCAAGAGCTATGCGATTTTTGATTTGCCAATATTTTTTTTCGAATATTTGCTTTATCAATAATCATTATAGCTTTATTTTTAGCATTTCAATAAATGCTCTAAAGATCTAGTAGGCAAGCTTTTTATGTCATTGCTTTTATCGAGAGTATGAAGGTGTACAAAAAGGAGGATTTACGTCACACATCTACTTACAAGATATAGTTATACAAAAAAAGTTTTTGACTATTTTTAACCGACTTCAAAAAAGGAGGAGGTTCTCAATTCGTTGAAATATTTTTTTTTTGTTTATGTTTAGCGATAATTCTTTTCTAAGTTGTCCGATTTCTATGATTTTTTCTTTAGAAAGGGGGTACTTCAGGGGAAAACAATCCTCAAATTCTTCATTTTTTATGTATATTTAGCGATAATTCTTTACCACCTTGTCCGATTTCTATGATTCATTTTTTGTTTGTAAGGAGGTACCTAAGGGGTACTCCCATATAAATTTGGTTAAAACGTGGTGACGGCATCTGTACGATTTTGAAGTCGGTTTTTTAAAATTACTTTTAATACCTTCTTTTTCTAGTCTAATTTTAATAGTTTTTTGAGTAACTTAAGCAATATTTTAAATTAACAAAATAGGTCTATAATGACTAACATGAGCTTTGTTTCCTTTTTATATACTATATTTTTTATAGAGTTACTATTGCTTTTTTTAATTAGATATGAAATATTCCTTACTAAAAACAGTTATTTATAATATCTACTATTAACTAGAACGTATCACTATGTATAATATCTGGAGGTTGAAAGTAAATAGGACGATAAGGTTTTTGTTAAAATATTCCATTCACATTAAATACATTTATACCCTATATAAAATGAAAAAATCTTGAAACATAGAAGAATCATTTTTTTACGACGTCAGACATCTCGATACTGCTATGATAATTTTATTAACATAAATATTTTAGAAACAGTGAAAGCTTTGTAAGTTTTAACGATAGATTTCAAAATTCTGGATATATTACTCCCTATGGAAGTCAGAGAAGGACCCAATGGAAAGCATCTTAAAACGTATACAAGGATTTGTACAGTTAATTTCCTAATTTATGTATTAATCTGATAATTTTCCAAATATTTTTTGTTTTAAAAAAGATACCACGCCCATATACTCGTGTAGTACATAGCTTATTCACGTACATATTTGTGTTAGATCTGTACTCTTTGATAAAATCCACTAACCTGGAGTGAAATGTCCCGGATTAACGCTGGGATCGTTTTCGAAAAAGTACCTATCTCCACGTTTCAATCTCAAAAATTGCTCGGCTATTATATCCCGAAAAATAGGACCCACTAAACCGTCGTCTGCCTTATCTTCTAACATCCCTCCAACCCACACGTCCACGTCATTTACACTTCTGTAAACCTTGCGTAGCTTTTCACCAATCTGAAATAAAAAGTGAAACATTCCTTATGCGTTACAAACTCTTTTACACGATATCCGATCTAGAAGTTCAAATTTGCACACTTTGTATATTAGATGTTAAAAAATCTTACTTCTGGTCCAAAATCTTTAAACGACGTATATCTAGGTAAACCGCTCAATTCTCTGTAATCATTGTAGGGCCGCAAGCCATGATCTCTTCCCCTTTGGATGTTTATTGATGGTAAATCAATGCCAAATGCGTTTCCAGCCCTGAAGAGGTACCTTGTCATCTAAAAACAAATAAATAATTACCTTTACAGGTCTATGTTCTATCACCAACAGAAGATTTAACATTTAATCTGAAATCGATTCTATCATCAATAGGGACAAAAAAATGGATAGGAAGGAGGTAAGAAGACTTAAGAAACAAACAAACAAAAAGAAAGGAATCTCACGGGAGAAAATCAAAATAAAGGCGTTAGTGAACTAAGGCCTTCTCTACCAAGATAAGACTCAACTTGGAACCCATTAACGGTACTGCATATCTTCAAGGATTGCAAACCTTTAGCTTTGTTAAATTAGAGAATATTTGTAGAATTGATCAGAGAAATATTTTTTTTTTATTAAATTAATGTGTCTCGACTACTCTGGCCATTGACACAATTACAATTATTTAGATACTATAATGTAATCTACAACTAAGGATTCATTTAAACTAACAAATAACAACTATGTAAATGCAAAGATATTACAACTAAGAGACCAAATTGTTTACATTTTTATGTGGCAAATCATTATTCCCACCAGATTCTCGTTTATTGCGTCTTTGCCGATTTTATCAGTGTGTAAAAATTATTTGGAGAAATTACTTTCGAAAAATAAAATTTGATGTGTCCTGTAACTATAATTTTATATTATATAAATAAAAATATGTTTTTAATCAAATTATTCTTTGAATTATTTTACGAATTTACAATTTTTATGAATGAAATGTAGTACCGTAACCAGCCGCAACGTTGCCAATCAGGTCTAACAGCTATTTTGTATTTCTGACAGTATCTGACAGTTTCTGTGTGACTTATTGATTTATTCATTTATAAAATACTATTTTTGTGAACTTTTGTGAGAAATATAAAGAATTATGGTACATGCATGTGTAGTGTTCAAAAAGGTAGATGATTTAAGTCGAAATGTATGGTTTCATCGGTAAGTATTTTTAGGTTAAGATATGTTGTTTTCATTTGGACCAGTGGAGTAGAGCTTGTACAAGATTTGATACAATTTCTTATAGAATTTAAATTACATAGGATCACATAGTAAATTGTTTGAAAAATGATTATCCAATCTAATTTTTCAGACAATTTACTGCAGGTTTGATAATGTACAATTTAAATTGTACAAGAAATTGTATCAAAAACTTGTGTAGTCTAAAACAGTCTTAAAACAGTTTTTAAAGTGATATTCCTTTTATAAATTAGTAAATTTTTCTTATACCAATAAATAATTATTGAATAGTGGCACAGAAAATTTAACGTAAAATGTAGAATACATTAAAAATGATTTACCTATTGAGCACCTATACATATTTTTTATTATTCTAGTTAGGTTTCCGCAAGATCCTGAGAAAAGAAAACTTTAGTTTTCTCTAATAGGAATCCTTGAAAATCAGCCCCTTCGTAAAAACCCAGAGTTGTGTTTAGAACACTGTTTTCCTGAAAATGTTTTGGTACGTGCAAATGGTATTAGATATATTAGAAAAGATGCAAACTCCAGACGGTGTGAGGGCTTTCTATTTTTGGATGACTTATCCAACAGGTAAAAATACAAAATAATAATTTTTTGTTTACCTCTAAACATTATTTATTACCTATATGTATGTATATCTAATGTATGGGTTTTTAGTTCTGATTCAACTGTTTTTGGAACACCACCTGCTGCAAAAAGAAACATTGCAGTAAGTTATATAACATTAATAACTAAGCATAAAAAAATTAAATGAAATTTTAGTTAATAAAATTAAAGTATTTTATATATTTAAAACATTGTTTTAAAAATTTTTACAGTTTTTTTACGATATTTTTTGCCATATCATGTGTTTTGTAATTATTAATTAAAAAATTATATATTTTTAGGACAGTGTTTTATTTAGATACCTAATGTTAATTTAAAATTTTAAATAATTTTGGTTAACATCATACCAGGCAAATATATAGTAAATGCCAATAAACTGTAAACCAATAAATATTAAAAATCAAAAGGTAACTTGAATTCGCCTGTATTTGAATTTACTTGTACTTTAATTTACCTACATGAAAAATCAGCAAGTATCATGCAAAACTATTGTCATATACTCTGATAGCCAAGCAGCTCTAAAGGCAATTCTCTCATCAGAAATCAAATCAGGACTGGTGAAAGACTGTCTAGAAGACCTGACAGAGCTAAGTAGTTAAAATAAGGAAACCTTAGCCTGGGTTCCAGGCCATGAGGGATATCAGGGCAACGAAAAGGCCGACGAATTAACCCGAGGAGGCTCAGATAAGGCCATGACAGGCCCCGAACCCTTCTGTGGAGTTGCTAAGGCATTGTGCAAGGCATCCATTAAACAATGGATGCAAACAGAGTCTCAGGAATGGTGGAACAACTATGCAAGACTGAGACAGGCCAAACAGTTTATCAAGGAACCATCTACCAAGATCACGAAAGACCTACTGTATCAAAAGCGTCAAATCGTCAGGATAACAGTAGGCCTTCTTACTGGACACTGTCGCCTCAAAAGGCACATGAGTGTCATAAATCCAACAGAAGAAGCAACTTTGTGTAGGTTCTGTGAAGAAGAAGAGAAAACAATATTCCACGTCCTGTGCCAATGTAAATGTCTGGCTGGAACGAGGTTTCTAACATTGGGCGAAGAAAAGCCAATTGCATGCAACTACATGCGGGAGCCACTGTTAAAGCTACTAAGACTAATAAAAAGACCAGGCTAGACGACATACTCTAAAACAAACAGGAGTCCCACAATAGATCTGAAAAGGTCGCGGTGGACAAGGACAAATAAAGTTCAACTCATAATCTAATCTACCTACATGAGAAAATCATCATAATTATATTACTAAAAAAATATACCTGCATATTTCCGTATTTTTTTAACATACTACTCTGACAATACTGGCGAGCATATTATGGACACTGTTTACAACGTTGCCAGCCGGTCCTAAGAGATCTGCCTTTCTCTCTTCCACTCACTAACAATTTTAAAACAATAACAGTCCGCAATTGTATGGGATTTATGAATGAAACATTTTGTCTATATGTTGTAATGTCTTTGGTAAGATGGAACAAATGAGATTATTTTAAAAAATGTATGAGTTTGAGTAACTGATCAGGAGAATTTAGAATAAGTCGAATATTTTTTTTTAACTGGAATTTTGTACGATTGTTTTTATAATAAGTACACTCCTCAAGAACATGCTTCACAGACAGAGGCGTTTTACAGTGCTGACAAATTGGTGGGATGTCAGATTTCATTAAGTGGACATGGGTTAGGCGAGTATGTCCAATTCTCATTCTCCTAATACCACTCTTTCTCGTCTTGACATATGAGGTAGTTTAGAGGGGGTGATCAAATGCTGAACTTCGTGCAATTTTGTGCTCCAATGATTCTGTCATGATTCAAAAATTGATTTTTTTATTTTTCTTTTTAGGTCACTGTGAATTTGTACATCTTCTAGTGAGGAACCTGATAGTAGTGCTTTTTTTGCAGTTCTATCTGCCATTTCTTTGCCGTGAATTCCTATGTGTGATGGAATCCAAATCAGGATAATGGAAATTCCTAAAAAAGTCAAATAGTTGCAAGTATGATGGATATTTTGAACTAGCGGATGTTGAGTGTAGAGATTTTGTATGGATTGAATAGAAGCTAAAGAATCTGTACAAATTACCACATGTGTATCTTCTTGAATTATAGACTTATATGCTTGAAAAATTCCATAAAATTCACCAGTGTAGACACTACATAACGATGGAAGCAGAGAAGTTTTAATAGTAGTTGAAGTGGTGGTTACTGAGGAGCTAACATTCATATCATTTTTTGATGCGTCTGTAAAGAGGACTTTGTTAAAATAACATGTGTTAATTAAATCCAAATAAGTCTGTTTTAGAAGTTGTTTGGGAATTTTATGTTTAGTATATCTGCATAGCGACAAGCGACAACTTGATTTGAGGTAATGATTTTTTCCAGGGAGGAGTGAAAGAAATTGGAAACGGCATTGTTTTTTTAAGGTCAATATTGGTAGTAGTCTAAGAATTTGTGGAATTGACTGAACGGATTTTAGTGACGATGGATTTAGATACATATTTGGGAAAATATAAGAAATATATGCAGGATTATAAGGAGTTGCAGATACTCTGGACGAGTAAGAAAGAAGAAGATTTAGGCGCCTTAGCCATAATGGAGGTTCATCTGCTTCACAATATAAAGTTTCTGCAGAACTAGACCTAAAATGCTCCACTACTGAGGCGAAGTCCAGTATTATGAATTGAGTTGAGACATTTTAAAAGAGACTTGGAGGCAGACATGTAGACAATGCTTCCATAATCAATCTTCGAACAAATGAGAGCTCTATATACTGTTAAAAGTACAGTTTCTTCAGCACCCCAGTGATGGTGCGACAATGTTTTCAAAATATCAAGTTTTTCAGGCAGTTGGCTCTAGTTTGTTTGATATGTTCTTTATCAAGTAGCTCCGGAGTCAAAACTAAGGCCCAAAATTTTGTGATGCTTTACTACAGAAAGGGTATACGGCACTTTTCAATAATTTACATATCCGGTTGTTACTGGAGGACGAATATCTGAACAAATGCCATTTATTGCGAGTATGAAGAGCGTAGAAATATATTTCAACTATGTTTAACTTTCTCTTTTAGACCTTAAGTCGTTGGGTAAAGCGAACTGAAGTTAGATATCATAAGGATCACAGCAGGCTAGTCAATAGAATCATCGTTTTATAACTGGCATACAAGGTAGGATCCCAACTCTTTTGCAGACAACATTCTAATTTAATTTATGGTATAAATGAGTACTATGTTTACTTATCATCTTCGAATAGATATATGTGTAAAATCAAAATTGAACTTCACTTAAGGTAAGTTTGTTTGATCTTATAACTATTTGTGAATACTGTTCCTGGGTTCGTCCCATTTTGCGTTAAAATAAATAAATAAATGAAATACTGTGTACTTGTATAGCAACCATTTTAAACAGATAAGAAAGGCTAAGCTAAAGTAATATAGTTAATTTTAATAACATACAGCTTCCGAAAAAGACCCATCAACTGCTTGGATAGGTTCATTGGTTAACGTATTAAGAATCATATCTAAGAATTTACTTCTTCTCATTTGCGATGGATAGAACATTACTTCAGGAATAGAAATCATTTGATCCATCTCGTGCCCTTCTTTATAAATTCTAAAAAAAAAAGAAAAGGATATTAAGCAAAGATTTCTATAAATATTTTTAAGGAGAAAAAGTCTCTATTCCCGTCTTAGGCAAGGCACCATCTGTACCATCTTGTTTTTTTAAAGAAATAAAACTAAATAAACAAATAATAGAAAAATGTAAAAATAATAAAGTTTTACTTACTTTAAGTGTCCATCTACAATTGAATGTCCGAATCTAAAAGCAGCTGTTGAAAATTCATTAATAATGGATGGATTCACCTTAGGATCGTATCCAAAATAGTATTCATAGCCTTCTTCTAAATTTAAGTCAAATTCTTCCATAGTAGTATATCCTAAAAATATACCATGTGAGAGATGAACATCTATATCTAATTAGATCATTTATCTTCAAATGGGGATGTAACCAATATATACTGCGATGGATGTGTACAGCAATAGAGAGACCAATCATCACTTACGGGGTTATAGTCTGGATTAACAGAACTAGTTTAGCTACTACGAGAGCTAATATCTCAAAAGTACAAAGACTTGCCTGTGTTTGCATCACCGGTGCAATGAGAACCTGCCCTACGGCCGCAATGGAGGTGATCTTAAACCTCGCCCCTCTAGATTTGATGAGAGAGAATGTGGCAAAAAGGATACGATGTAGAATGATCAGGAACGGAGTAATCAGACGACAGTATACTTGCTTCAGGACTTAAGATACCTGGGACATGTCCCAGGATGAAATGCTAAAGAAGAACAGTTTTGTGAAAAACTTAAAAATCACAGAGCTGGGCTGCAAGAAAGAATGGAACCAAGAACTCATCGCGCTTGCAACCGAAAGACATGCTATTCAGTGGTATACAGACGGTTCCAAAACCATAGAAGGAACTGGAATAGGAGTGTATGGGCCGAGAACCATGCACTCCGAAAGGTTGGGAAAATACCCAAGTATCTTCCAGGCGGAAAAATCACGCCATTAAGAAGTGTATCCAATTTAACAACAAGAGTAACTATCATAGACAAGAGATTATCATCATGTCCGATAACCGAGCAGCAATCAAAGCGCTGAGCTCTTACGTATGGTCTGGAGATACCTAGAACAATTGCATGAGCTAGGCGAGAAAAATAGAGTTACTTTCACTTGGGTCCTGAGACATAACGGGGTATAGGGTAACAAAATTGCAGATAGTCCTGCAAGGAAAGGGACTCAAACACCCTTTGTAGGACCTGAGCCGTTCTGCTGTATCAGCAGTAACATAATATTAGAAGAGATTAAAAAAGAATTGGGCAGTAAAATAACCGATAATTGGAACAATCTCTTGGGGCTAAGATAGGCTAAGATACTTCTGAGTGAATATAACCAGAAAAGATCGGAAGCCTGCATCTGCCTGAGCAAGAACAGGCTACGTATTGTAACGGGGATCCTTACCGGGCATTGCCGACTAAAAGGACACCTTAGTAAACTGAGGGTAGTAGAGGATAGTAAGTGTAGATTCTGTGAGGAGGACGAAACCTCCATTCACATTCTAACTGAATGTGTAGCACTCCAGAATACAAGGGCACTATACCTAAGAGGATATCAAATAGAAGAGGGAGATTTACCTAACTTGAAGCCACTCCAAATCCAACACTTCCCTGAGAAAACAGGATTGGAAGGGTCGTTATAGGCATTGAGAATAAATCTTTTAGGTCGCAGTGTATTAACACCCCATTCCCACTGTCGAAAAATATATGCGTAAAAAGCTACTATATATTGTAAGTTCGACCTAACTAGTGGAGGAACTAGGCAGATCTAGATTCAGAATAAAATTTAAGTAAAATGATAAACTAAAAGTGAATAATATATGCTTTGAAAAATATAGTAGTTTGGAATAAAGATTAAAGTATATATAAAATAAAAATATCCTTGTTACATCAATCAAAATTTAATGAGCTAATAGCACTTTATATCTAAAGGGAGTGGGCCAAAAATGGTCTAGTAGACTGGTACTGAGTTAGGTTAGTTTTGCCATGACTTAGTTATAATATTATTATTTACCTAAAATTTCCGGCAAGAATTCCTTGTAAGTGATGACCTGCAGTTCCGCTATAACTATTTGGCGCGCTTCGAGGAAAATTTCTTCGTCCTTCCAGTCAGGATTCAGATGCGACAGTGTGTCCGCTATTCTGTTATGTTCTCTCATGAATAATGTGTGCAAGGCCACCAAAGTAATCATTTGGTTGGTTCTTGTGTCTCCTGAAATGTAATTTACTATCAAAAATGTGGATTGGTACATAAAAAAATATATATTGGGTCCTTTAATCCTAATCCGGTCTTTGTTAGCAGATTATCCCTGAATTTGGATGATTGTTACCAAAATCAGGAAAAAATATAAATCGACTTTCTCCCATAAATATATTGGGCCCTTCCCCCTAGTCCGTTCCTCATTCATTGATTTTTCTGAGGATATATTACAAATAGCCATAAACTATTATTTTCTTTAACAAACAAAAATTATTCTATAAGACAAACAAATCTAAATCCTCTACAGTCAGATGTTCTGATTTAACTTTTTTTTTTTGATGAAATTATTTTGTGGTTGTAAGAAAAATATTGTACATCACTTGTGTAAAAGTGATTTTTCACGCTCTTGTGAAAGTCGCAGTCGTATGAAAAATGTCACTTTCTACACTTGTAGTGTAGATTTATTATTCACTAGCAATGTTTAAAAGGATTTTAGGTCCCATTAGTTAAATAATTTAGTGTTACTTTTTGGAACGGCCTTTACCTGACTCGAAACAAGCAGTGCCGTCTTCCCTGGTAAGACAAGCATCTGAATTCCTGGCCAAAGGCAACAATTCTCTACCGTAATCATTGAACACCTTCAATTTACCGCCTTCAAAACTTCGCAGGTTACCGGTTTGTTCTGGAGATGAACCGTAAATCGTGGAACCGTCTATAAAATGTGTCACTTTGTTCATCTACAACAAACAGATACAGTTAATAAAATAATGATATTAATGAATAAATAAGGAAGACAAACTCAACCCCACATAACATCAATGTTCTATGAATATACTAAGAACATTCTGTTTATGTTCTTTTTAGTATGTCCTTTTTAGTATGTTCTTAGAACATACCTAGTATATACTTTGAAAGTATATTCTAGAAAGTATATGCTGAGCACGTGCCTTAAAAGTATATTCCAAAAAGTATATACTGAGCACGTGCTATAACAGGACATTCTAAGAAGATACTAAAAGTCATATACCCAGCATGTACCTCATATTCTGAGAATGTTCTAAATGCTTGCAGGTAAAAATTAATACCAAATACATGTAAAAAAAAAACGTTTATATACATAGCTATATAAATTTTTCCCAGATACCGATCTATTAATTGGTTAGCAAACGCACTAATGTTTAGGCCAAAAACAACAATAAAAGATAAGAAGAAGAAGAAGAAGAAGAAGAATAACAAAACCTACAATTCCTACAAATTTCTTTGATCTCGTTTCAGTAAGTAAATTAGTAAAAATTAATTGCATCGTGTGTTCTATATAAAAATAAACAAATTTTACTATATTTGTTTATTATTATACTATAAGTGATGCTAGAACACAGGATATCCCAAATATTAATTGCCAGTGTGAATTTATTAATATGGTTATTACTAATGGTGGATTAAAACTAAAATTTAGTGTTACCAGAATTACATACACACTTTCTATGAAAAAAATCCTGTAAGGCCAGAAATTGACCTGGAAGAACTAGAAAATAAGCTAAAGGAGGAGGAAAACTACAAAATGGTGGTAAGTAATTAACAAAAATATATTTAAACTTTTACTAAACATAATAATCATTTATGTAACTTTTGTTTTTGTTAGAGAAATGCCATGTACAATTTTTAATGTTTCACGTTCGACAAAAATATTTAAAATATTCCATTAGCTATGTACAGTTAATTTGTATATGTACCAAGTTTGTTGATTTTTTTTTTTTTTTAGGTTCAATGAAGATTGAATGGAATCAAGCAAATGAAACTCAAGCCATTGATACAATGAAATATTGGTTAGTTAAGGCCAAAGGAAGAATTTGTATTAAAAATAAGAATAAGTATGATTTTTTTGAAATAAAGATTTCATTATATACACTTATTCTATATTGTTCAATATTAATTAAACATCCTGTATTAGGGTGTCTAGTATATGCCTAGCATATGCTATATTTAAATACTAAGTATATACTTAGAACGTACTATTAATTTAAAGTAGATACCTATTGCATACTGTACACATACTCGAGTACATTCTCAGCATCTGCATAGCACGTATAAACAACGCCACGTAGCATATTCTTGGTATATTCTGAGAATGTTCCAAATGCAAATAAAGTATATTGTCAGCATATGCACATTCTTAAAAAGCATATACTGAGAATATGCTAAGAATGTATAATTGTTATCTGGGACGTCTGTATCGAAGAAATCAATGAGCGACTGCTCTCTGGAGGAAAACAACTGTTTTCTGGCTATATGCCTTGGTAGTCATTGGATTATAACTAATGAAAAATAGTAGAGATACAAAATTATTTTCAAAGCTCTAACTTTGATTTTGTTTAGTTTGAATCAGTTTTGTCTTTATTTGGATTCTTGTTTAAGACATAGACATTCTCATAATATTGGTTTGTTTACCCTGATAGTTACGTGAAAATAAGAAATCGAAAAGTAGCGCCATCTATATCTATATTAATGAATGATTGTCTCCTAAAACCTCTAAGGTTTAACAGTTGGATAAGGCAGATCTTTGCAATATTAGGTTGAAAATAGAATATTATGCTTCTGTTAGTTTTCTAATTATTTCAAAATAAATAAAATCAAATTTAAACCACAACATACAAAGCGTTTCAAAAAAAAATACTGACTTGTTGAGAGTAGCCAAGCGTACAATCTTCCCTTGGTGCCAAGACGGTCCTGACAAAATTCATACACCTCTGATTGTAACCGGCGTAAAATACGTCAGTTTTTGGTATATAGATTGGCATGCAAGCAAAATGGCGGCTATCAACTGGCAAACTTTTCGTTCCATCTTTGTTGCAGCAAGAAATTGCGCTACCGTTACCTAAAAAAATATCAGTGTTACAAGTTTAGAAATTAATAATAGCTTGTTTTCATAATTAGTTGGACCCCCTTTAACCAGTTGCAGAAACTATAATTAAAATGGGACAGATGTTTTATTGTGAATAGTTATTCGAAGTGTCTCATTCAAACATATCACAATCAAAGGCTTTGTTAAAGTTTATCAGACTCATGAATTTTAATAAACTTTTTTGTAACCGGCTGCTAGTTTAGTTTAGTGGACTGTTCTAGTAGACTGTTCTAGTAGACTCAATATTCCAGGTAGAAACTTTCTTGAAAGTGCTACCTCTTGTTTTTTTTTTGTCCAAATGTACGGAAACCCATTCACAGCTCATTCCACTTCAAATGTAGGTATCATATATCTGCTCTCCTTTAGGAGAATGCTGTCAAATCTAGAATTGTAGTAGAGTTTGAGAATATTTATGGAAAGCTTTAAATGATAGTGGAATTATATTTCACTACCAATATTTCTTATCGTCAATTCTAATGTCTAGCGAATGCCATGTTCGACCTATGGGCATTTTGCTAGAATACCACTAATTAAGACAGAAATCAGGTTCTTAAATGTTTTCTTTGGATAATTGAGAAGTTACTAACGAAATTTATGTAAATAATTAGTACATTTCTTACCGTAGGTAAAGTCTAATCCTTGTGAAATATCATGCGACAGAAACTGTCCAAACTGCATCAAGAGAAGCGATTGCTTAGGATTCGATGCATCTTTTTCGTTAAAAACTGTAGATGTGACAAGTCTTGCGCTTGGAAGAGGTTCATCCTTGACAGCAGACATTCTTGGTGACCAAATGCCTATCAAGGTTTTGAATTGTTTTTAATTTTTTATTTATTTAATTAAAGTATAAAAAATTTAGTATTAACTCTTAATAATAGTTACCATCGTCGTATACAGGTGCCATCAATCTGGATAATGGTGTCAGCGCTGCACCCCATATGGGACGATAATGATTATTGCAAGAACCATCAATGGTTCTATATTTGTTTGCAACTGCTGGGCAAATTGGTTGCGGGGTGCAAATATACCCAAGGGGGCTGGGACTGAGATCATCTACAAGCATGCCTTGTTCTAACTCAATATTACTCACGTCCGCTCTAAAATTTAATAAAGTAGCTTATTTAAGTAAATGAGGAAAATATTATACTACAATTGGAGAATAATAAGTAGTAATAATTCCACAAGAACAAGTTTACTTCTTACCTTTCCCTAAAAGCTTTGGTAGCTAAAGCGATTTCCATAGCTCTATTAGCCACTTGGCTAACTTCAACAGAATCAGCGTCACTGAATCTTCTAGAATTTCTGAAATGACTGTAGCTAGCTGAACCAGGTTCCAATATTATGGATTGATCGGACATAAGTAGTTTGGCTTCCTTGGAACGTAACTCTTCCATAGCCAATCTGCTTCTGCGGCTGACGACCTCTATAGTTTTAGGGTCTAACTGCAAATGGAGTTGGTGGTGGCTTCTGTCTTTTGGCGTAAAAGCCTCTACACAAAATTATTTTCACATAAATATACTGACTGTTATATATACAGAGTGTTTGTTATGTTCGAAATTCGAGAATTCAAAAACTACATAACTTTTAATAATTTTGAAAACGGATGCGAGATCAGCATAAACAATAATTATTAAGGTAAAATTTTTTGTTCTTTTTTGTCATCTACATAAAAACTAGTAGCAAAGTAATTAGGATTTAAAACGACTAAAAATGAGAAAATTTAATTAGAACAAATGTAATAAATAAGTTGATGATCAAGAAGATCAACTAACCATTTGCGATGGTTGTACAACAGTATTACATGAAGCATGTGGTGAAATTTAGAAGTAAGAGTGACGCAACTCAGAAAACGTACTGCATTTTTCTTTATCATTGATTGTTAAACCGCTTTTAAAAATGTACCTAGTTTAAATAAAATACTAAACGAAGCATTGGTAGAAACTAAAAGCATTAGTGAAGAAAAAAGATCATTCAAGAGGAACTAAAGAACATGAAAAAGGAGAATGAGAAATTATTTGAAAAACTGGATGAACAGGGAAATAAAACTAGTACAGGCTTTACAATAGTTTAAGAAATTGAAAAGAGGAGAATGTCCAGGGCAGCTAATTTAATTATTACTAGCAAATAACCATAAGGGTAAAGCCAAAGAAAATACAGAAAAAATTAAAAATATTTTACAACCAATTATATCATATAAATATAAAAAAAACATCTTGGTAAATTTAATAACAGTAAGCAGAGATTATTAAAAGTTGTATTAAATGACAAAGATGATGTTAAAATGATACTTAGAAACAAAACAAAAATTAATGTTCCTGTAATTAACGTTTTTACCAAAATGCAGAGGGAATATTTCAGAAGAACTAAACAACAAGTTAATGCAATATTGGCTCGGGGTAAAAATAAAACAATTAAATATAATGCCGGCATACCTACTATTGTTGATAATCCAAAGTCTTTTCTTTAATAAAGACCAACTAATTCACGATTTGATCCCATATAATCCCAGAGTAATATTACTACCCAGACAGCACATTGGCATATGCCGCCAATCTGCATATTTGCCAAAATATATTGCAATATTTATAAAATATTCACAGAATATATTTTATAATCTACATTGTAGGAAGATATTCCAGGCATATGTATTTTTTGATATGCCCAGAATATTCATTTTTCATATTTTATAGATATCTCTATAGATTATGTTATATTTAACAATTTTGTTTATCTACAGGGTATTTCAAAAAGATTGGTCATAAATTATACCACATACTAAGAGACAACAAAGTTTCCAAACGGATGTTGCATTCCAGTGGCGTTTCATTTGTATTTAAATTTTATACTACAAAAAAGTTGAGTGGAGAAAAGAGCGGTGACCCCCTCCAAAAACCTATAAAAATCAAGAAAAAAATATTGCCTCTTCCTCGGTATTATTAGTCATGGTATTCTAACACGTCATATAAAATGTCATGAAAAAATGCCAAACAGTTTAAGAGCAAAGTTAAAAAAATTCATTTAAATTTTTATCTTATACACCCTGTAACTATTTTTGGGTGAACTTTTGTATATAAGTAAGTACGGTTTAATCGATCTATTTTTGACCCAAGAATATGTGGTATAATTTATGACCAATCTTTTTGAAACACCCTGTATAAGAATAAATGAAGACCGTTGGTTGCATAATTAGTAGTACGCTATAAAGACAAAGTAACCAGGACAACCCTTGTTTAATTTATAAAAATTTAAACAAAAACGTGAACTTAGAATTTCGGAATGTAACTTTAAATCATGATCATGTAAACTGATTGTCAATTAATAAAAAAATGTAACCGGTCTCTGATGTAACCTCGTAGATCGAATTATCTTTCTCTTCATAGATAAAATAAGTATGTATAGTTCTCTTATAATGTAGACAAGAAAAGGACAAAAGAATAATTCTTAACCGTTAAAAGTATGCGCCTAGTACGTATTGGTAGTAAAAATTACCTTGATTGGCTCCACTCATAATCTAACCTCTCGTCGAACGTAAGTCTTGGTTACACGGGATGTTAGAATGTGAGAAATATTTTTTATCTATAATATCCTGGCCAAATATATAATGATATAATGATAAAGGCCATTAACAAAAGAAAAGAAGAAGAATATGATACATAACCAAACTTATTCTCAGGTTGACGAGAGATTTTTTATTGTTTTTCTAGGTAAGTCTCACGATATATCCACCTAAGAGGTAAGTTTAATTAATTATAATATATCTGGTCCTTCTTTAGTAACAATATAGTGTTTAAAATTATAAAAATTAATAAATATATAATAAGAAGTGTAAATCAATTGGTAGAAGAGTCTCTTTTATCCTTAAATAATGTTACAACATTTAGCTTCAGAGGAATGTAATTCGTTTCACCAGGAAGAAAAGTTGAGTAAAATTCAAAAATCTAAGTTTATTTTAACATCCCTCTATGTAAAGGATAATATTAGTTCAAAGACATCTAATGCCAATGAATTACCTATTTTTAGTTATAAAGTAACTGATCAATATAACAATTTAGATGAAATCAGAATATGTGCATATTCGTTTTTCAATGAATCACCCTGTACAAGGCGACGACATATTAAATTAATTGCTTAACAAAATTTATAATTTTCAAAAAAAAACGTCAAAAAGTTTCTAAAAATTAGATTATAAGAAATGTAAGACTACAGTGAAATAAAAATTATATTTACGACTATTTAAAATAGGTATTAGAATTATAGGTGTTAGAATTATAGGTATTAGAATTATAATATGTAATTTATCTGTAAACATTGAAATAAAACTCAGATTTATTAAAGATATTTTTGAAAATGGTCAATTCCAAAGGTAAGTAGATATTTTGTTTTCAACATCATATTCTGTCATGGTCTCAAGAGTGGCTAAAAGAAAAATCTCATATTTTACTTATGGCCATCGCAGTTATTGTGTAGGTTGTGGGCTGGTTATCTCTGGTTGTGGGAGTTACTTGGTTTTTAGCTAAGAAGATGAAATGTCACTGGCATCTGACAGCAGTGGCAGTTTCTCAGATATAGACCAGCAGTGATTATGCAGTTAGGCCTTAGATAAAAGAGACCAGAGATATAACATACACCGGTTTTAAACCTGCGCAAATGTTGCCAATTTCTAAAGAAGGGTTAACGGAGTGGGGGAACTGGGCGGCGACACGCGGCGACCCGAACTCTGTGACAGGGACCGGACTTTGTTTATTAGCATCTTAATGAACTATTAGGTTTATTTAAAAGGTGTTTAATCGAATTTTGTATTATGAAATCAAATTAACGTGATTTTTTAATATCAAACAGATGCCACGACATTTTATGTAAAGAGAAGACCTTTTATAGAATATTTCGTTAGCGTTTATTTACTACGAAATTTTCTGTAAGAGATTACAGTAAAATGTTGAAATAGAATATATTGTTAATAGAGCAAAAAATGTTACTCATTGTCTACGAGTATTATAAAAATAGCATGTGCGCAGGCTAATACTGCAAATCTACCCTTATGAATTGAACATTATATTTTTTCTACGGCTATTACATATTATTAAAAATTAATCAAAATGAGAAAATGCTGTTTTGTATTGTAACCTCAGAAAAAGTATATTAAGGCTTCTTTCTTTAAGAATATTAATTGTTATAAAGGATGAGTCACATAAAACTCTAGAAATGCGTATGTCTGAAACCAGATAACATTTTAAAATTTAAATCTATTAAAAGTCATTTGGTCGCTAGGGATGAGTGATTATCGAAATAAATTATCGATAATTGAAAATAATCGATTATTTTCGATCAATAGATTATTTTCAAACAATATATTTTTTGTCATTTCCTTTAAAATCGACTGCTTGATTATCTTTGAAAAATCAAAAATAATCGATTAATTAAAAAGCCAATTAACCGATAAATCAGTGTTTACTAAATATAATATAAATAGAATTATCGTTTATTTTAAATAATCGATTATTTTCAAATAAACCATTTTTTTTGTCCATGGAAACAGATTATTCGATAATCTTTGAAAAATCGAAAATAATCGATTAATCAAAAATAATCAATTAATTAAAAAGTCGATTAACTGATAAATCGATTAAAAAAAAACAGAATGTTCGATTATTTTAAATAATTGATTATTTTCGATCAATCGATTATTATCAATAATCTATTTTTATTGTATTTCCTTTAAAATCGTTAATTCGATTATCTTTGAAATACCGAAAATAATCGATAATTCCAAAATAATCGCCTAATCGAAAATAATCAATTAATTAAGAAGCCGATTCTATGATAAATCGATTATTACCAATAATCTATTTTATTGTATTTCAAAAATATTCGATTAATTAAAAAGTCGATTAACTGACAAATCGATTTTCAAAAAACCAGAATGATCGATTATTTTAAATAATCGATTATTTTCGATCAATCGATTATTATCAATAATCTATTTTTATTGTATTTCCTTTAAAATCGATAATTCAATTATCTTTGAAATACCAAAAATAATCAATAATTCCAAAATAATCGCCTAATCGAAAATAACCAATTAATTAAGAAGCCGATTCTATGATAAATCGATTTTCCAAAAAATAAAACGAATTATCTATTATTTTCTAATAATCCTTTTTTCATATTTCCTTTGAAATTGATTATTCGATTATCGAAAATAATTGATTATTAAAAAGCTGATTATCCAATAAATCGATAATTTTAAAAAAATAACCAAAATATCGATTATGTAAAATAACCGATTATATTCAATCGATTATTTTCATATAATATCTTTGAAAAATCGAAAATAATCAAATAATTAAAAAACCGATTAAACGATAAATCGATTATTTTGAATAAATCTACTTTTTTTGTATTTCCTTTAAAATCGATTAATACATTATCTTAAAAAAAAAAACGAAAATAATTTATTAAAAACAGCGGATAAATCGATTTTCATTAAAATATATCAGAATTATCGATAAATCGATTATTTTTGTAACCCCTATCGGTCGCTTGCTTTTATCTGAGCATTTAGCTCCAAAATTTAGAGATTCGGATTTTTTGATCCAGTTATCTTTGAAATCGCATTCGCTTGTATAATAAATAAATATTGCTAAATTTTGGATTTTTTTTAGTAAACGAAAATTATGTTCGAGTTGTTTAGGGGTTTGTAATGTAACATTTCATTAACGTGATTAAGGGTCGATTCCACCGTTGTGGACTCTCCGTTTAACACAACGGTGGAATCGGACCTAACTCCTGTAACTTTAGTATTTTTTTTGCTTATACTAGATTACTTTGTTTTAAGACTGAAAATTCAATGTTACTTTCGATTTGACCGCAAATAAGATGAACCTTGAAATTTTAAGTAGGTCATCCTGTATTTCATCTAATATTCTTATAAAAATACCTTATAAAAATAAAATTTAGCTAGCAACTATGATTCTTTACCTCTTATTTATCTACAAAAAAGGGCTAAAAACTACCTTTAGAAAACATTCTTATAAAACTACTTTTTAAATACAACATTTCGTTAGCAATAATGCCTATTTACTATTTATTTAAATTAAATGTTCAAAATTTTACCCTTTTGTAAATTTATGTAAGTAATATGAAATCTGATTTCTGATGCTTAATATTTATTGAAACCCCTTAATGCGGATCTGAAGTATTCAGCCCAGAGAATCATGGCGCTTTATGTCAAAACGTTAATAAATATTTACCGCTGAAAACGAATATATTCATAACAGTAGTACTTGTATTATAAGTACATACAATTTTTCAAGATACATCGTGACATTTTGAACTTGAAATTGAATAACTAGAACACTTTAAATTGCTAAAATACCAACAAATAAATCAAAAAACAGCTGTCAATGGTGATTAAACTCAGGTGGAGGTGATCGCTGAATGGAAATCGGAGCAATTCGGGTGGCGTCGTGCAACAATGATTTTCAATTGGTGGGTTACTTTGGCTTAAAATAGACAACATGCGCAGTGGTGCAATGTTACATCTTCGGTCTCTTTAATCTAAGGCAAAACATTAAAACCGGGCGACTTTATACAATTTAGTGCCGGTGGCAAAAGCAAATCAACCGTGTATGTTGTACGCCAAACTATGGAGAATGAAATTGGAGTTTAGTGCTTAAAAAGCACAAAGAAAAAATTAGATAAATTTTGAAAATGAGATTTCCACTGTTCTGATGTTTTAGGACTGTTAATCAGTTAATGCTCAGGCATTATCTAGTAGAACAAGGTTGAAAATTGATTATAACATTTTTAAGAAGTGTTACGATACCATTTGGGAAGGTGAGACCGATACCGACTTCAAGCGTCAGGCAGCAAGCAGCAAATCCTATCGTACTAAAGGTGCTGTCGTCGGTCGCGCCTTCCCAAATTTGTTTCATTTAATTGCATGTGTTCAGACGTTTAGAGACCATTTTCGGTCTCCTTCGCTGTCATTTTGCGCTTGAAGTCGGTCTCGGTCTCGCCTTCCAAATGTTAATGAAAAAAAAATTTCATATTTTAGCAAAAATTTTAATTTGTTATACCCTACCTATTCTAAATCAGTACTGGGTACATACATGTAAATAAACATGCACTTAAATTAATTTTTAAAAATGCAACTTAAAAATTAGTGACCACATGTAGAGAACTAGTGGCGGACCGATGGCCAAAAATATAGAATTTCTTTCACTTTTATAAAAAAATGTAGAAAAGAATTACATGCTATTAACAAAATAGATACATATACTGTTGAAAACTACATACTTCAACCTATCAAATAGTATTTCTATTTAGTTTTTCTGACCCCACAAAAGCATTTTTGCCTTAAGATGGCCATAAGTAGTGCCATGACCCATCCCACAAATGGAAGGTGTTTTTTACTTACTTGTAATATTTTTTCCAGTACTACAACAAATTCCTTTTTTGGACATAATTGTTTTGCAAAAGGCCTTATTTTCGTTCCAAAAGTGCCCAGGACAACTGACAAACGGTACACATTCCATGCCATTTTTGCAATTACCTACAAAGGAAATGGACAGGTTAATATACACAGTTATTAATTAAAAAAATAATTATTATCGCATATACAAAAAAATGTTTTAAAAAATAAGTTAAGTATATATGACTTAATTTTGTTAAAATATCAAAAAATACAGTGGCGTGCAGATTTCAGAAGATACAACAAAAAAACATATTTCGAATGATCTTTTTTTCCTTATTTTAAAAATATTCCATATAATTGTTATATCCGTTTCTTATACCATATTGGCCAAGACTGACATTGACAGTTCTGAATAACGAACGTTTAAAGTTTAATAGTATATTATGTAATGATTATATAATAACCATTACATGAGAGTTGCATACGCCCTTTTTTTCTACACCCGATAAATAATCAAGAACTATAAATATTATATTTATATTTGTATTGAACACAATATTAATTACTCGTATTTCTATAAAAAATTCTTCAAAATTGTAATTAATGGTATTACCTCGGGTATTGATATTACTACAGATTGTTGGGGCAAAATATTTTGTACTGAATTTTCTGCTTTCTCCGATATGTGTGGAGGTGTCGATGGTAAGTCTTCTATATCGCTGATATCAGACATTTTGATAATATTATTAACGAAAATTTAATACGAACTTATTTGGACAACCATTACATAGGAACCTAGGATAAACGTCAAATGCACAGCATGCTTAATTGAAAAATTATGGGTTTCTATTGATTAAAAAATCTGTATCGTTATGAAAAATCTATATCATAATTGGTATCATTATGAAACAGATTCGTCTGAGTCAAAAAAATACGTCATCAGCACAGTTTAAATTTCAAGATTCGCCAGATGATAGTTCAAAAGACGAATATAATATTTTACAAAAAATATATAATTCCTACCCCAAAAACAAACAAAATCGTAGCTTTCAACCATAATGGTTTAAAAAAATTTCCTAGTTGGAATACTCACAGCAAGCATTTTGTTACGCTTGCCGAAATTTTTGTCTCCGTGAATCCAAAGAAAATGCGTTTACTTCTACAGGGTATTCTATCTGAAAAGAAGCTTTAAGCAAAGATAAGGGATTTTTAAAACATGACACAGCAAAAGCTCATTTGATTGCCATGTCAATGTGGCAAGAGAAATTAATAATAATAATAATGTTTATTAATTTTTAACCACATAATATAATACAGTATGTTTTTATCTTAATTAATAAACACAGTAAGCCACTGAAATAACTTTTAGTTATTTGTGTGTGGTAAAATTAAAATTAACAGGAAAAAAAATATTAATCAAAGTTTAAATATGATAAATTACTTATTTCTAACTACATACTATAAATTTATATTGTATAAAAAATGTTTTAAATTACTAAACGCGCCGATCAGGTAAGTATACTCACATCTTTAACATTCCCCTATTTTAGTAATTTAACATAAATATTATATATATTTTTTATAAGGTACTTTAAAATTAGATTATATATTTACAATAGTTTACATTTCTATGTATTTATGTATTTCTGTTCTAGGTGTAGTGTCCATGAAAATTTTTAATCTGTGTTTAAATGAGGACAGTGTTGAAGCCTTTTTCACAATTTCCGGCAGTGAGTTGAATGTTTTAGGTCCTAAATAAGTTTCTTTGACCAACTTTTTTATTTTTATATGGTAGTATAAATTGATTTTTTTGTCTGGTTGGGTATGGATGTAATGCTCTTTTTAAATCAAATCTGTTGTTATATTGCGTAATAGCTAGTTGTCTGTAATATAATTGATTTATATCATATAGTTTTGTGTCAGAAAATAGTTTACAACTCGAATATCTCGGATGTACATTTAATATCAACTTTAAGAATTTTTTTTGTGACACTTCTAGCATATTGCGATATGTTGTTGATAAGCCACCCCAGCCTATGATGCCATAATTTAGATGAGATTCTATTAAACTCTGATACATAATTTTTTTTTGTTTGAAATCAAAGAAAGTGGTAACTTGCTTGAATCTAAAGAGCAAGAATCCCAATTTTTTTAAAAGATAGTAGATATGCTCATCCCATCTTAAGTGAGGATCTATTACAATACCCAGGTATTTAACTTTTTTTGCAGGTTTTATGATAATATTATCATTAATCTTTAGATCAAACTCTGGAAGAGATGATGCCAAACTACTGAATGGTAAGTATTCTGTTTTATTTATGTTTAGTGATAAAGCTCTGTGGTCAAACCATTTTTTAAGTCTTATTAAGTCTGCTTCTACTTGTTCTTTTAACGAAAACCAATCAGAATTTTTGTAGAAAACTACAGTGTCATCTGCAAAACTAATGATTTGGCCTTCTCGTTCGAGAAGAAATATATTATTTAGATATATCGTAAATAGTATTGGACCCAAAACTGTACCTTGAGGTACACCACATTTTATTTTTTGTTCTTTACTAATTTGATTGTTTATTCTAGTATGCTGTCGTCGGTTTGTTAAATAACTTTCAAAATACCTAAGTGCTGTGCCTCTTATACCTAAATCTTCGAGTTTTTCCAATAACATGTTATGATCTACGGTATCAAAAGCTTTACGAAGATCTATAAAAACTGCTAAAGATGGTATGCTATTATCCAAACAATTATAAATCTTTTTTGTCAAATTTAGTATGGCATCTTGTGTACTTTTCTTATCGCGAAACCCATATTGAGCAGAGGATAACAAATTAAATTTATCTAGAAATTGACTTAATCTATTTTTAACTACTTTCTCAAATATCTTAGCCAATAAACTTATTAACGAAATGGGCCTGAAGTTTTCTGGTTCTGTAATATCACCGCTTTTGTAAATTGGTGTAACTATGGACAATTTAAGAGCATCGGGGAAAATTCCTTGTTCAAATGATTTATTAATTAAGTATGCAATTGGTTCTACTATATAAGGTAAAATTATTTTAAGTGTTTCTGCTTTTAAATTATCATAACCTGGAGCCTTTTTGTTTTTTAGTTTAAGTATAATATTTTTTATTTCATCTGAATTTATTGGAATTAAAAACATTGAATTTGTATTTGTTTTAACCTTTTCAATATATGTAGGATCTGCTTTAACACTTTTAGCTAAATTGACACCAATATTTACAAAAAAGTCATTAAAAATTTCACACATTTCTGATGGATCTGTTGTTAACTCGCCTACACTATTTTTTATATTTGTAATTTTTTTCGAATCTGGAATTTTTAGTATTTCATTAACCGTTATCCACATATTTTTCGAATTGTTTTGATCTTTGTTTATTTGCCCTTTGTAATAATTGATTTTTGCTTGCTTGATTTTTTTTTTCTAATTCTTTCTTGTAATTTAGATAAGTTTGTTTTAAAGCTAAGTTATTTTGTTGTTGCTTATATTTGATATACAGATAATTTTTTTGGTTTACAGAGTTAACTAGAGATCTTGTCATCCATTTTTTTCTTTTTCTCTTATTGTTTTTAATCCTAATATTTTTTGTAGAATTTTGTACACTCTGCTGAACGGCATGAGTCAAAAAAGGATGTGTCGATTATTTTGTGTAACGAAGTTATTGAAAAACACAGATATTACCTTAAAGTAATAACAGAAATTGTACAGTTTTTGGTCTTAAATGAAATACCTTTAAGGGGATCATGGGATGACACTGAAACTCACGCAAATTGGGATGTTTACAAACCTTTTTTCATACACCATTCGAAAAGATCAAAAACTGACTGAGTGTGTCAAAATAATACCCGCTAACGCTACCTATAAATCGCCCGAAATGCAAATTGACATTATTTTTTTAATAGCGAAAATGGTTCCAGACGAGATAGTAAATGATGTTTTAACTGCTGATATCGCTTGGTATACAATTTTAGAGGACGGAACCAAAGTCAAAAATAATCGAGAAAACGTTTCAATTGGTCTGAGATACGTAAATAATGGCAATACCTACGAATCAGTTCTTGGAATTAAAACAATTGATAAATTAGATGCAGAGTCGTTTGCAACCCTTACCTTGGATTTTGTACGAGAATGTGGTTTGGACGACACAAAAATTGTAAGCCAATGTTAGGACGCACAGTGGCGCGAAAACGTAGATTTCCCGCACGAAAGTGATCCTACGGTACGCGAGATTGAAATTTTACCAAAATTTTTTATGGGAAAATGTTCGTCTTCAAAGACCCTAAAAGACTGTACTTGGAATATGGTCAAAAATTTCCCATTACCCTTGAAATGGTCATAATCATCAGACAATTTTCAAATAACAGGAAGCGCGTTTTACTCAATATAAAGGTACAGTTACATCTGACATTTATTGCATGATATTTATGTCTGACAGTTGTTTATTCCAGTGTAAACACTCAAAAAAATATATGTCCGAGAGAAAGTTTCGGTAAAAGTATTCTAAATAAAAAGAAACCTTCCTCACGAGAGTCAAGAGTCACAGAAAAATATTTTTGAACTGTCAACCTTATATACTTACCGACAAACGGACCATGATGGTTGGAGGAATGGTGCGTTGTGGGATGAAATTCGTTCTCTTGCGTAAAAAAATGTTCATTATTATCATGTAAAATGTGAGATCTGCCTTGTTTGTAATCTGCCAAAACGTGTCCAGCAACATGGTCGACAACAAAGGCATAAGAAAGTAATAACAATCTCATTTTTTACTGAAAATAAATTTGAATTTATATTACTTCTTAATAAACGTTTCTTTCCAATTATTTTTTTTTAATTTAATTACTCTATGAGCGTATGTATCTACGTAGTTTATCTTATTTAAATATTAGTGTTAAAAGGGAAAATAAAACTATCTATTTTTTTTCGGCAAATTTTTTTTAAATTTGTTAGTCTTGCCTTAAATTTTGATTAATAGAAATTCATAAATGTTAAATTATCTTTTTCTGGCATACGTATACGTTAACTGTTAAAAATATCCTCTTAATAATTAAATAACGAAATAAGAAAAATACATACCATGTGCTTCTTTAGTCTAACAGCCACTTAAACATACTAAAGAATCGAAAATTATTGTCGAACAAACGATAAATTTTCAAAAAAAAAGTCATATAGTACAGTGAATGTTCGAATACTTGGTTGATATCCTAAAAGTCTATAAACTCTAGTTGACACCAGAGTTGGGTAGTATTCGAATACCCGGTATTCTGAATCTTATTCAGAATACATTTGGCTGGTATTCGAATACTATTCGAATACATTTATGTTTTCTGTATTCGGTATTCGACTGAATACTTTTTAGTCAGTACTCGGTATTTTGGATTTAGAATACCATTTTTGAATCCTAGTATTCGAATCCCGGTATTCGAATCCCGGTATTCGAATCCCGGTATTCGAATCCCGCTATTCGAATCCCGGTATTCGAATCTTGGTATTCGAATCCCGGTATTCGAATCCTGTTTTCGAATACTGTTTGATTATTTCTATGAATATTACGATCTTTTTGAAATGTTGGTTTTGTTGAAGGCAAACGGGATAGGAAATGCTTTTTGATTGATGTCTTCTTTCTGATATCCAAGTACTAGTGCGACGTTATGAATGTTATATTATATTTTATTTAAAACAAAAATAATTTATTTTAAGTTATTTATTATTTAAGATTATTTTTCAAGGATAGCTTCTTTTGCTAAGCAATTCTATTGTGTTACCTTATTGTGTTCGAATTTCCAATGAATGTACCAAAGAAACTATTTTAAGTTTTATTTATTATACAGAGTGTCCCACGAGATACGCCTCGGACCATAACTCCATAACGGTGCAATTTTCAAAAATTTTGTAAGTGTCCTTTTTTATGTATATTCAAAAAAGCCATCTTTTAAAATTAGTTTTCGAAAATTGCACCGTTATGGAGTTATGGTCCGAGGCGTATCTCGTGGGACACTCTGTATAAGTAAGTAGGTTGTAGGGTATAGGTTATAGGTAATGGGAATTGTTTATTTTTTATTAAACAATAAGTTTGTGTTTTTATCTGACGGTGTACCAAAGAATTTTATTTTAAATTTTTCATTATTTTATCGTTATTTATAATTTTTTAATAAAACTAAGAAATAAAAATTAGCAAATGTTTTTTATTAAACAGTTGTTTTATTTAACCTCACTGTGACACTGTGTATCAAAAAATGATATTTCAAATTATATTTAACATAGATTTTTAATTCTTTTTATATTTTTATAAATTAACTACATAAAATTAACTGCTAATAGAAAGTCCGTTCAAAAACCTCCAGAGGTTGCAAGAACTAAACCTGTTCAGCTTGACACGTTCCAAAATTTGTGGACATTAAAGAAGCTCAGAGATGCAGAAATTATGGTTGAAACAAAAGCACCTGAATAAAATACATTTCCCATATTTGTGTGTGATTATTTTCTAAAGTTCCACGCTAAGGTGTATATTTATATGTGTAACTTGGAACATGTATTCGGTGGTATTATTTCAATTAAAAGGCCTGTGGTTTCTAAATAATTAAAAAATTTAGGTGATTAACAAAAAATAAATTTGACACATATTGATATAGCAGTTTAGTTATTTATCCATTTTAGAATTCAATTTTATCAAATTTCGAGTGTATGAAATATTGCAGAAATAAAATTCTAAAATACTTAAAGAATTTCCTGGGCTATAACTGTTCTCCTTTCTTTTGGTCATAATTGCGCTATCTAACAGGGAAAAGTCTCACTCTATTTTATTTTTATACAAGTTAGCTGTACAAATATTTTTTAAGGTTTGCCTACTTGTGTGAAGATGGCGCTGCAATGTTACCTATAACAATTTTAATAAAAGCTCTTCTCATGAATATTATTAATTTTTATTACTTATTTTCAAAATTTCAAGGTAGGTAGGTATTTCATCCTCAAAATCAAATATTAGAAATGATAAATTAACAAAAAAACTTTAGGAACCAACTATACGTGATGTGGTAGACAAGAACGGTAAAATAAAAATTAGGTATGAAGGGCCTAGTTAAAATTATTCGTTATCAATGAAAATTGTTGAATAAAATAATTAACTTTATTAAATTTTAATAAAAAATACCGTTGGAAATAGGTATGTATCTATGTAATAATAACAATAAGGTAACAATTAAATACACTATAGTTTGAATAAAAGAGGAGTGCAGTAAAAGTGGGGATATACCGTCACATTCCATAGGCGTACTTTGCAAAATAAGTTTTTATATTATAAATAAGGTCTCGGCATATAAAATTTTAAATGAAAAAGTTATATTATTTATAAAAATCAAAATAAACTTTATGCTTCTGACAAAATTGTTGCACTTTAACATTGAACGAATTAAATTTAAATCAAATAACAAGGAGGATTATATGTTGTTAATTGGATTAAACTTTTTTAATCTGTTGGCATTACCCAGACAGCACACATAGTCCAATGGACGTCCACTTTAAATCCATTTGAGGCTCAGAACGTAATTGGACTTTCAGTGAATGTAGCAGAGTAATTAATATGACAAAATGACAAATATTAGACAAAATGACAAATATATGACAAATTAATATCATAATTTACAACAAAACAATTTATAATTATAAAATACGTAGGTAGTAAACATATATTGTCTTAAGAACTACTGAAGCCAACTTTGTTCTTTGTTTACTCCTGTACCCGCGACAGGAAGTTTAGCACTGGCCCTATCGAGACCCGCCTCGATTTTTGCAGTCAGACGCGTGTAGGATAATTTCCAGAACTTTTAGATTGAGCTCTTCTAGTCAGAGTTGGTTCTTTCTAGAGTACCCAGACAACACACCAAATCCCAGAGATATCCACAGAATATCTTTTGTGGATATCCAATATATCCACAGGATATCAGAAATATCTCGTGCATCTAATATGGATATCCAAATGTCCGTCTATATATCCAGAATATAGAAGATATCCTATGGATGTTCTGCAAAATATTTTATGGGTATTTTTAGTAGAGGTTAATAAGTAATCAATGGATATACCCTATATCCTATATCCTCATTAGGACTTTTCTGCAATAAATATAAATTCTCGACTCCAGTCTCTAATGGAGTCTGATTGCAATACTAATTTCTATCGAACTCAATTACGACGGGTTGAGCATGAGTAGATATTCAACGAGCGAAAGTGGTATCGCCATCTATACTCAAAAAGCAAAATCAAAGGTCGCTGTAGTACTTAGTTCAGAGACTAGGTGAAATAAAAGCCAGGCGAACTGTTCTTAAAAAATGAAATAATTCTAGTCCTAATAAGGACGAAACCGGTCCAAGAATGACTTTCTTCTTAGTGGGCAAAATCAACCATTACATCTAGTGGATATCCACCATGGTATGCGTTCTTCGCGCCTAGACTTTGATATATTTCGTGGATGTCCATGGGATATTGAATACACCTTAAAAAAAATTATAATTTGCTATATAATTACTATTATTTATGGACATTTGCATGTCTATAAATTACATCTCATGGATATAAAATAGATATCCACCATGGACTGGACATTCAGTGGATATTGGGATGTCCAGTAGATATCCAAAGGATTTGGTGTGCTGTCTGGGTAGTGTTTTATTTTTGTATAAATGGCGCGACTTTGTTGGTAGACGTTAATGTTTAATATAAGTGTTGTATAGGAAAGATAAATTGTAATAAATAAATTTGAATTGTAAGTTATAATGGTGCCTAAGTATTAAATAAACTAATTGGTAAGTACGTTTTAAATAAAAGAATCGATAAAATATAATTAAATCACTGAAGTATTAACAATTAGATGGTTATACTTGTGCCTGACTAATTATTTATATAAAAAATAATACATTAAAAAAATTAAAAATGGAATTGAGCTAGGTATCAGGATTATTTTAACAAAACTAAACTATATTTTTTTAGTCATAATTTTTATTTTATATATTTTAAATTTATTAGATCATTTAAGGTATCTAGTAATTACATCCAGTTTTATTTTTTTGCATCTTGACAATTAATTTAATAATAACTTTGATTTCGTTAGGAACAAATTATATCTAATATAGTCTGGAACTAAAGTAATTGGTGTTTCGTTGCCATATTGTTTTAGAAGACGTGGTTGTAATGACATAATAATAATATGACCGTGTTTGGTAGAGATGAGTCTTTGTATTTAATTTAATTTTTTGTTGTTGTAAATGTACTAATTAAAATTTTATAGCAATATAGGTTGTGAATATCCAAAAGTTTGCTTTATTCGAAAAGTGAACCGTTCTTCTATCGTATTTAGATTTTGGATGTAAAATTTTGCAACTCTACCACATCCCCAGTGAGTTTTTACACCAACGAGAATTAGAGTGCTCGTAATTTTTCAATACTTAGACAATATTTTTTTAAATATTTAAATTTTAATAATAACCCCTGAGTGTATTTATTACCATTTTTATGTACAAATTCTATTGTAGATGACTGTCTATATATATGATAATGCCTATAGATATTTAATGGAAACAGCTTGTGGGATTTGGATGCCATCAATATTTATTGAACCAAGATTAGGTAGGTTGGCCGCATATAACGTAAAGGGTAAGTAATGTGTTGTTTGGATTAAGTGTTAATTGGTTATATTCGAACCATCGCATTTTTTTTTTAAATCTGTTCATGTTTCTGACACATTTCTTACAACACAGAGAGAAACTTATGCTCGTTTTAAGCAACAAATAAGCATTTTCGGGCTTGTTTTTGAGCCAAGCATGCCACAATACTTATTTAAGAAATTTTTAAGCACATATGCTAAATAATCGTCTCTAAATGAATGATTAAATGGAGCACCAAAATTGTTTAACTATAAGTATGTATGTATATTCTTATTTCTAATACTTATAATATATAATATATAATATATATCTACATAACACCGAAAAAATTAAAGGGGTGATTCTGTGATGAAAATTAATGTGAGTGTTTGGTATAAAATTTTTTGAAAAAACCCTCCCCGGAAAAGTTACACCCCTTCGAAAATAAAAAAAATAATGGTTTTTCTTTTTTATTTTCTCTGT